TGAACTTCCTGAGCAGGTGGCCAGGTTGTGTGAGGAAATCACCAGCCTGAGAATTATCCAGAAATCTGAGAGACTGATGCACGGTACCATGCAGTGACATGGGCAGACTAAGCAAAGCTATGTATAATTCTGACCCAATTATTGTACACAAGATTAGAAGGTTCCCTGATAAGGAACAGCACTTCAAAATACTAGCAGATGGCTCTAGTAAGAAGATTCTTATGACTACGCTTCAGTGTTTGTAAGAGAAAGAGGCTTACATATTTACCTGATTTCAAGAGCTTTGATTGCTTCTAACATCTGTAGATATTCAGCTGCTTTCCAAACATCATTTGCTTCTTCCTCACCTTGGACCATTAGTTTTGCTGTATAGGTGAATTCTATTAGGTGACGAAATGCCATGTTACTTACACCTGTTGAGAAAAAAGAAAAACAAATTACCAAAGCCTCTATCTCATGAATCTTGCATGCTTACCTGCTCAGAATTTTGCTCACAATACTTAAGATGTCAGTTTCATAAGCTGACACCCTTAAAAGGCTCATGTTGGAATAAGAAGTCTGGTACAGAAACATGGAAATTTGAAACAACTACAAAATAGTGCCATGACAAAGATAAGAGTATGGGAAAAATGTGAACAAAGAGCTCTTTATACAGAGCAATTAAATGTATACATTTATACAGAAAAAGATAACCTTGATCTCAGAAGACTTCTTATCAGCAAGTTACTAGAAATATACTGACAGCTCCATGAAATCACTCCCCATCTAAAAGGGAAATATCGCTCCATGTTTGTCCTGTTCTGGCACACCAGCTGAGGCATCTGCCTTCAACCATCACTGGGAGCCTTTTCTGCATGGATAGAATGGCTTTTATCAAGGAAAAGGTCAGACTGCTATTCCTAAAAAATTACAAGGACTGACATCTCATTAGGCACATATTGGAAAAAAAAAATTGAACAACTCAGAATCTCTCACTCTCCCTTCCAAAATATTTAATTTGTGACTGTTTGTTATTTTCATAATTGTATTTCAAGGAAGCTTCTTCCAGTGGCAACAGCTACTTCAGAACAACTCATGAGCTGAGACGTTAAAAATTAACTGATATCATTAGGCATGCATCTCAGCTTGTATTAAGGATACCACATTCATTACCAGCTCCAGAACACAAAGCTGAAAGCTTTTATCTACATGAATCAGGTTACCTTCAATCTCCACCAAGGGCTCCTGAGTGAAATCTTGGAAGAATCTGTAGAAGAACTGGCTACAGGCAGCAAGAACAGCCTTATGAGCTTTGAAATGGTGGCCTGCCAAGAGAGACAAAAATTAAAGTTTAAGATAACACCTTCCTAATTTATACTGCAGAGTAAGTGCAGATGAACAAAAGAAAGCAGGTGTAAAACCTATTTCACACATCTGCCCTAGCAACATACAGCCATCTCCATCAGCAGACAAGGGAAGGCCTTTGACACAGTCACCCTTAACATTCTTCTCTTGAAATTGCAAAGATACGGATCTGATGGGGGGGCTGTTCAATGAACAAAGAACTATCTGCAAAAGAGAGTGGTGGTCAGTGGCTCAATGTCTGGATGTGATAGGTGACAAGCAGTGCTCCTCAGAGGTCAGTATTGGGACTGATGCTTTTAAATATCTTCATCAATAGTGAGACTGAGTGCACTCCCAATAAATTTGCTGATGACACAAGCTACGGGGAGCAGTAGATATGCCTGACAAATGGGATGCTATCCACAGGGACCTAGACAGACTGAGCAGTATGCCTAGGTGAGCCTCATGAGGTTCAGTAAATCTAAGTGCAAGGTCTTGCACCTGGGTCATGGCAACCTCCACTATAAGTACAAGCTGGGGAATGGAACACAGCCCTACTGAAAAGGATCTTGGGGTACCAGTAAATGAGAAGTTGGACATGAGCCAGCAATGTGCCCTTGCAGCCCAGAAGCCAACCATATCCTGGTCTGTATCAAAAGAAGTGTGGTCAGCACTTTGAGGACAGTGATCCTGTCTCTTTGCTCTGCACTGGTAATTCCTCACATGGAATGCTGTGTCCAGATGCAGAATTCTCAGCACAAGAGAGATGTGGACCTGATAGAGCACGTCCAGAGGAAGGCCACAAAAATGATCCAAGAGATGAAACACCTCTGCAATGAGGACTGGCTGAGAGAGCTGAGGCTGTTCAGCCTCGAGAAGAGAAGGCTCCAGCGAGATGTGAGGGTGGCTTTTCAGTATCTAAAGAGGGGCTATTACATAAGAAGGGTGCAGACCCAGTAGCAAGGTGTGACAGGACAAGAGATAATGGATACAAAAAGAAGGGAGATTTAGATTGGATATGAGGAAGAAGTTTATTAGAATAAGGGTGATGAGGCTTTGCAACTGGTTGCCAGAGAGTGGAAGCCAAGTCCTTGGAGACATTCAAGGTCAACCTGCAAGGAGCTTGGAGCAACCTGATCTAGCTGTGGATGACCCTGTTTATTGCAGGGGAGTAGGATTGGATGGCCTTTAAGGGTCCCTTCCAACTCAAAAGATTCTATGGTTCTATGATTTAATGTGTCTCCTTGTAACACGAGATACTACTGCAGTTGGCCTCTCTTATTTCATGCACGTGCTTGCTGACATCACTGCACTGGCTTTGCTAAAGTTCTGCAATTCAATCATATGGAGTACTTTTTTACTCCAGAGTTTCTCTTTTCAAATATTTATGGCAAATCCCCATGAAAACTTTTTTTCATGTGTGTCTTGGGCTCAGCTCTCAGACTTTACCCAAGTTTGCTGTGCTTTTTTCCTACTCTTACACACTGATCTAATTTTATCACCACTTCAGCTAGCGTTAGCACAGCTGAAGAACAAGAGGAGTTCTGCTCTGTTTTCCAGACTGTGTACTTCCCATTGCTGTATCATGATGGCAGAGGCACAAACACTTATAATGCTTAATGGGATAGTGATAAGAAATGCAGTATAGATTAGAACTGTACATATATACAAGAAAACAGTTTTGAGCCCAATATACAGGATTTTTATAATACTAGAGCACAAACAAACATTTTTGCTAAGTTCTGTGCAAGCACTGGCAGTGAAACCCTGGCAACTGCAAGAGTAATCTTTTCTTCATTTGCTTTTTTTTTTTTCTAAGACAGGTTTTATATGTTTTCTTTTCCTTCAAGTGAGCTATGGCTACCCTTTCAAGAATCAGGCAGTATTTCTTCAGTTGAGGCTGTCCTGGTGGATACTGGCTTTCTTCCTTGAAGTGCTCATCCATTATAAGAAATGTTTAGTGTAAAAAGAAATCTCAGGCTGTCTATCAGACACCACTGCTTCTGATGGGATAATAAGCACTTACATCTCTGTCTTTCCTTTAGACTAATACTTAAGTCTCTAGAACACACAAAAAATGAAAAGTGAGTTCTTCCACCTTATTTTAGCTACATATTAAAAACAGTATGCTACAGATACTATGGAAGCAAGGAAGCAATCTTACTTCAAGCTGTTTTTAAACAGTATTTGTACAAGTTGTCCGCATGCAAACAGTCAGCTTAGGCTAGAGAAGAACATTTTTAGGATATTTTAGAAATACTTAAATAACATTAAATGCAGTACAGCAGTTACAAAGTGGGATTCTATCTAAAAATATTCAGCCACTTATTTGGAAAAGCAGAAGCACAAGTACTAATGACTGTTGGAGACTCTGTTCACCCTACAACTTTAAAAGAAAATCTGCAAGCAGCCCATTACAGTAGCAAGAATTTGTTAGCAGCCCAGTTTGACAGCTGACCTATGACAAACACAAGAGCATCGCAGCAGCTATCAGAGTTCTCTGTATGCCAACTGGTCCACATGCCCATACATACCATCCACAATTAGAGTGATGTCTGTGAACTGGTCCTGCTCACGTTGTTCATTCAGTCTATCCAAAATGACTTTATAGTGTTCTGGGAATTCCTGGATGCATTCCATTTTTTCCTCAGCTTCCATGGCAGAAGGACTAGCCTGTGAAATACACATGAGCAGAGTAAGAATACCTTGTCACTCCATCAATGCAGCTTAGCTTACAAACATGGTACTTTTCAGGGACTACAAAACCAAGAGATACACCAAACTGCCATGACAACAGGTTTCCCACATTTTAGCTAGCAGGTAGAAAATATGAGTTAATTTAGGCCTTATTTATATATATCAAAAAGCAGTCAAACTGCATTTTTTTGTTCACCAATTTATCTCTCTCAAAGCAAATAATGTAGGGATATAACATGTCTAAAGCTAACTACTTAACAACAACTCATCACTACAGTGACAGGATCTTTACTTCCTGCAATTCAATCAATTTGTTAGGTAGAAGAACAGTTGCTAACAATCCATACTTAATGTACATTCTGTATCTAGTAAATACAATATGTTTACTTTGTTTAAGTATGGAAGTCCTAAGATAGCACTTCTCAACTTCGAAACAGGTCAGAGTTGCCAGGGATTTAAAGAGTTTCTACACTCAAGAATAAGAAGGGTCTCATTCACACAGCTTCTCCCCTGCTGGGTGAAATATTTGTTGCCAACCTCTTGAAAAAGGTGGACTGTACTCCTATGGCCCTTCCTCCCTTGCTGATACAATAATTGTATCCGTGGGTGGAAGGAAGGTTTTCAGACTCCAGGAGGTCAGAACTGCCTGTGGAGACACACCGATGCACCTCTGCTGCTTATGCAAAAGAAACTTTGGAGAGTCCAAGCACTGCAAGGAAAGCATTTCATAAACTAGCTGCAGAAAAAATGACCTCAGATTTATGCAGCAGCACTCATCTTCAGTGCCCACACTCATATGGTCCGGTCCTCATGCTGAGAATGCTTCAGAAAAAAACAAAGACATTTCAAAGTCACATTAGCACAGAAACTTAGTCCCTTTTCACAGTGTAACTCACTTTGAACAACATGTAGCTTCTGAGAGAAGACAGTGAGTAGACTTGAAGGAGACTCAAAGGAATTTGAGAAATACCATGTTCTACTGCTACACTCAGTATAGACCAAAGGAAGAAAGCAGAGCAGTTAGTATTACTAAATATAGAAATGGAATTCTTTAGTGCAGCAAATTAACATTTGCTTTCAGGATGCTAGAAGAAACTATAGGAGAGGTGCTCTGTCTCTCCTAGTGCAGATTTTTTTGTGTGTGTAATCGGAACTGGAAAGCGCAGAGTGAAAACCTGTCCCGTGTGTACTCACTGCACCTGTGCTGCTGCCAGCATGCATTCCAGCTCCCTCGTGTGGCTGCAAAAGTTCTGTTTTGCTTCCAACAAACGCATATACCAGTATAAGGGGTTTGATAGAAAAAAACGAGGAAAAGAATTACCTAATAACTACAAAAGCAGAAGTTATTTTCTTACTACTAACATATCAAAGAAAGGAAAATTTCAAATTTGTACTTTAATCATAAAATATGCTCTTCCTTGCATTTCAGAGAAACTGTGCCTCAGAGAAGATTGGAAAAGGGACAAAAACAATTGCTAAGAGAAGTCTGGTTCTGCCTGCTACCAGCGCTTTGCCAAGTGGACTCTGAAATGCTTATCAGACTCTTAACAGGGAGATCAGCCTGTGGGAGGGAAGGAATGGATGCTGCTGCCTTCACTCATCTGTTCCAATGAGCCTCAGACCACTGTGGTCATCTGGGTTTCCACATCAGGTGTCCTGTAGGCAGTTGTTAGCCGTCAACTTCAAGAGATCATTGAGTCCAGCCCCTCTGCTAAAGTGGGTACCCTACAGTATGTCACATAGGTAGGTGTCCAGCCAGGTCTTGAATACTTTCATAGAAGGAGACTCCTCAACTTCTCTGGGCAGCCTGTTCCAGTGCTTCATCACCCTTATCACAGATGAGTTCTTTTGCAAGTTAGTATAGGACTTCCTGTGTTCAAGTCTTAGGCCATTACTCTTTGTCCTAACTCTACACAGCATGGAGAAGGGACTGGCCTCAACCCTTCGCCTCCCACCTCTCTCTGGATATTTACAAACATTAATCAGATCCCTTCTCAGCCTACTTTCCCCCAGGCTGAACAGACCCAGGTCACTCAGTCTTTCCTCATACAGGAGATGCTCCAGCCCCTGTATCATCTTCATGGCCCTCTGCTGGACTCCTTCTATGAGATCCCTGTCTTTTAACAGCAGAGCCCAGAACTGGACACAAAATAATATCCTAAAAGTAAAGCCAAGCCAACGTCTGGCCCTCAAATAGCACAATTTCCAGCCATCCAAACGTAATTTAGAATTAAATTGCATGTTCATAGGGGCATGTTAAAAAAAAAAAAAATGAAACACCCCAAACTGACCTCAAAATAATAATCAACAGCTCCCTACCAAACTGACTCAGTTCTATCTTTTTTTTTCAAAGCTTCAGTCTTTGTCAGAAGACTTAAAAAGGAAAAAGAAAAAAAAAAAAGGGAGAGCACACAGGACTGCACAGTTTATGGGTAACTCCTGTGTTAGTGCAAAGCTTAGTACTATTGCAGGGAAAAAAAAAAAAAAAAAAAAAAAAAAAAAGGCCTTTATACTGAGAACATCACTGCTCCGGGGCAGGAAGGGAGGAAGCACCACAGGGGTCACGCGTGGGCCCTCATTCCAAGCCCGACCGCTTGTTTTTATCCCTGGCTCTTCCGGGAGAGCTCAGCCAGACGCCGTATTTCTTATCCCTTTGTGAAACTGCTTGTGGAACGGGGTGCGACAGCGCGCAGATCTGCCCCCACGGATCCACCTCAGCGGAGCCGTTACTTAGGCGCGGCAGGCGCGCCGCCCGAGGCCCATTCGAACGACAGCCGCGCACGCGGCCCAACACTCCTCAGCAACAACAATGGCGCCGGGCAGCGCGCGCCCCGCCTCAGGCACGGACGCGCCTCAGGCCGCGGCCCGCCCCGCAGCAGCAGCCAACACCGCCCCCAACCTGCAACTCGCGCTCCGGGAGCACATCCATCGCCCTCCCATTGGCGGGAGCCGCTGCCAGTCATCGCGAGTCTCCGCCAATAGTAGTGCGGCGGCGAGTCCCGCCTCTCAAGGGGGAGCCAATCAGCGCCCGCCTAGTCCCCGGAGCGGGAGAAGCCGGAAGGCCTAGCCGGGGCCGAGGGCCCGCTGGGCACGGGCGCCCCGGGAGCGTCGCGGGCGGCCGCGGATCGCGCGAATGTCCCGCGGGCGCGCCCACGGTGGGGCCCGAGCCGGTGTCGGGCCGAGCGGCACGCCCGGCGGCGCCGCCGCCTCGTTAGTCCTTATTACGTCATCAAAGCGCGCATTAAATCGATCTTTTTTCGGATCGCGGGCGGGCCGCGGCCCGGCGCCGCGCGCGCCCCGCGGGACGAGATGAAGGTTCCCCCCGGTACTCACCGCCAGGAGCCCTCCGCCCCGCCGCGCTCGCGCTGTTCTCGCTTCCTGCTGCCCGGCACGCTGCAAAGCGGGGCGGGCGCCGGCCAATCGCGACTCGCATTCCCGGCCTACCCCGCGCGGCGGAAGTGAGAACTGCGTCACCTTTCGCACAGCGACGCGGGCGGCGGGCGGAGGTGCCGGGAGCTGTAGTGCGGGCCGCGCCGTGCCCCGTAGTGCGGGCAGTGCCGCCCTGGGGCGTCGCGGGGACGGGGGCGCGGGCGGCCCGAGTTGCACGGACCCGGCGCGATCCGCGCCCGGTGCCACGCGGCACCGCCCCAAACCGGTCCGAGCGTGTTGTACAAACTGCGTGCCCCGAGCGGCTGTTCTGTGCCACGCACTGCTGGCGAAGAGCCTTTCCCTGCACTTCGCCCGGCCCTCGCCTCCGCTGCCGCACATGACGGCGCCGGCGAAAAGCCGCCTGCCGTGGCACCCGCCCGCCGCGCCGCTTCGCACCCGGCCCCGGCGGTCACTGTGACACCAGGAGGGGCCCATCGCACGGCTATTCTGCGTCCGTGCTCCGAACAGGCGCTGCTGAGCCGCGACGTGCTCCCCAGAGCGCGTAACAGCCGGGTTGGCCCTGCTGCTACGGGGCCTCAGGCAGCGCGTTCGTCCGCGCGCAGTAGCGTAAGAACGCCGCTGTTCAGAGCAGACGGAGCGTTCGGCCTTCCGGCTGCCTTTGGGTCTGTCAGAGCTGCGGTAACTACATGCTCCGACGAGCTTGCCCACAGAACAAACTTGTTTTACTGACGTCTCCAGCACTTCTCCTTAGTGCCAAATCCACGTGATTTGCTTTACAGTTTTCCTCCTCCACAAAAAGTTACCGCAGCACTCAGCATAGAAGTGCTTCTCTCAAAGCGTCAGCAGCGGCCATCTAGTTCAAGACAGCCTTTTTTAGTACATGAAGTCCCAGGCATCTGCACTGTGTCAGCTTTATCAGTATGGGTTGTTTGTAAAGTAAAAAACATTGAGGTTGAATGTATGTCCCTTTTATTTCCTTGTGTTATTGCCTACTGGCTTTGCAAATGTCATTATATATACATTCTCAGTTGGCCTGTTCAGACCATTGTCTTGATCTAGAAGAAATTTCATTCTATCAGAAAGCCACAGCCTATCTTTTCAGGTGTGTTCGGCTGAATATGAGCCAGCAGTGTGCCCAAGTGGCCAAGAAGGCCAATGGCATCCTGCTTGTATCAGGAATGGTGTGGTGAGCAGGGCTAGGGTGATCCTTGAGGTCCCTTCCAACCCTGGCAATTCTGTGATTCTGTGTACTCAGCATTGGTGAGGCCTCACCTCGAGTACTGTGCTCAGTTTTGGGCACCTCGGTACAGAAAGGACATTGAGGTGCTGGAGCAGGTCCAAAGAAGGGCAACAAGGCTTGTGAAGGGCATGGAGAATATGCCCTATGAGGAGAGACTGAAGGAACTGGGGCTGTTCAGTCTGGGGAAAAGGAGGCTGAGGGGAGACCTTACTGCTCTCTTCCAATATCTGAAAGGTGATTGCAGTGAGAGCGGGGTTGGTCTCTTCTTGCTGGTGACAGGTGACAGGAGGAGGGGAAATGGCCTCAAGTTGCGCCAAGGTAAGTTTAGGTTGGATATCAGGAAAGACTTCTTTACAAAAAGGGTTGTTAAGCATTGGAATAGGCTCCCCAGGAAGATGGTTGAGTCACCATCCCTGAGTATGTTTAAAAATCATTTGGATGTGGTACTCAGGGACATGATTTAGCAGAGGGTTGTTAGGGTAGTATGGTTGGACTCACTGATCTTGAAGGTCTTTCCCAACCTGAGTGATTCTGTGATTCTATGATTATATCAGGAATGTTGATGTCTCCTGCATTCAAATTTTCACTTTAAAGCATTTTAAACCTACTTTTGGTGGCAGCACTGTACCTCCAGAAGCTTGTGGTTGAAATAGAAATATTACTGAAGTTACCAGTGTAGGATGAAAATACTATAAATTATTTTATTTTTTTCAACACAAACACATTCTGCTTATCCCAACAAGGAGGTGGTGTGTATTTTTCTTATTTTTCATTAATCTATATATATTTTTTTCTGTTTCTGTTTATGTTCAATGAACAGTTTGTAATTTGTCCTAATACATTTTAAAATATAAAATTGGACTTACTGAGCTGCAACTGTTCAGGTTCTTCTTTTTCACTTGTAATAATCCTTTAGGATTTTAGAGTGTTATGCTACAGACCAATGTAATTTAGCTTTGTGACCAGTACCCCCTGCTCCTGACCTCTGTCATTGTGGGTGCCCTAACCAACAATGGGATGAATGTCCTTAATGTGTGAGTGGGTGTAAATGTATCGCTTGCCCAGATGCTGAGATTCCAGTAGATGGTGACACCTGTCCTGCAACAAAGAAGCTCAACAGCACAGGGAGCTGCTCTTAGCTGTCTGTTAATCAGGCAGCAACAATACCTAAGGGGGACTTAGAATGGAAAAGCTGTTGGATGGTAAAACAGGGTGAACTCCAGTGGCCAGTGACATCTACACCATCTTCTTCCTCTCAGGACTGAATGAGTGACTTGTGTTCTTTAATGTGAGCCTCAGTCTAAGTTATGACTGTATTGTGTGCTGACTGGTAAAAATTTAACCTAATCTGCAGTGGGTTTAGCCAGGTTACCAAAATGCCGTTGTAAATGAGAACTCTAGAAATTCTATGCAACTATAAACAATAAGTGCAAAACTGCACTCGTTGTTCATTCTTTCTTACTTAATAGCAAATCTCTGTTTCTAACCACAACAGTGCTTCCAGTTCTCTATTCTGCCAAGAACCTGCCTATCCTCTGTGGTGCTGGATGACAAGACAAGTTTTAAGCAGAAAATAATCTCATTTAGAGTATGTTTTACTTAGATGAGGAAAAACATGTCAAGCAAACATGAAAGTGATCTTTATCCCTATCTCTATTCAATCCATATTAGCCTTTTCTACATGTAAAAATTCTTTGTGCTTTTTTTTTTTTTTTTCCTAGAAGCACCTTAGTGATACTCAGGAAAGATCTGTGTTCATTAAGATGACCTGATGAGTCTTCTGGTCACAATATTTGGCTGAGTTTAGGAATGATACTGACCGTCCTGCTCTGTGCTTTTCATGGCAGTGCTGAAGACGGCAGAGAACATTCAGCCAATTCAGGAGTGTTGGCAGCTTTCCCTAGGGAGACCTGTGAAGCATCAAACAGAGAAAAATAGACACTAAATGAATTATGGGAAAATTTGAATCATTTTTTTTCTTTCTTTAAGGAAAAGTGCAAATCAGAGAGTTCCTTTGTTTAACTAAAAAACTCTCTTGTCTGAAGAAATGAACGAATTAATAAACTGCAGATGTGAAACCAAAAATTCAGAATATGTGCTGATGGCATGATTGAGTAAATAATTATTTTTGAAGGAGCTTAATTCAGATTATAAATGAAAGCCAAAAGGGACCATCAAATCATTAGGTCCAAAGCTATCCCCCACGCATATTGCTCCCCAGGTGGTTTTGAAAGCTGTGTAGTATACTCATACACACATTGATATCCCACCACATAGTCTGAAATCATGACCAAATGATTCACCTGGGGAGAGACAGCTGCGGTGTGGCTTTTTTTCTGGCCTCATATATACAGAAGTCTTATGAAATAACTGCTTATTCCTGTAACAGTAGCAATCATCTGTAAGAAATCTTTTCTTTAGTGTGTGTCCATTGTACAGTGAGTTATTCTGTGCCTGAAAAGGCTTTGCTGTCCTGTCTACACAAGGCAGATGCATACTGTTACGCAAGAGAAGAACATTTCTGTAGAGCCCTTGACAGGTATGCATAATGAAATAAAACCTGTGACTGTTTATATTTTGTTAAGGAAAATAAATATGGGCTTTGCCTCCGATAGCATGATAAAGAGCTCTTCTCCTGGTTCTCCTCACTCCATTACAGTCTCAAGAAAGAAGGGAAAATGTAAGGAGTTAACTGAAGTTAAAATAATAGCAATAAATATATAATACTATACTTAAAAACTATAACATGATAAATTGTAAACTGATACTAAAACTCCTTGGACGATACATCTGTGACATGAATATATCATCTTGTTCCTTTGTTATCTTCATGTTTTCAGAGGAAATGCGCTGTCAGCACCAGATGTGCATTTATGTCCACTCAGTACTCCCTGCTGCTTTAAAACCTCCATGCCAAGTCTGGTCTACTGTGTTCAAGTTCATGTTTTTGTAAGCTTGCAAAAACCAGCTGACTAGTGAAGTTAGGGAGATCATGTAGTTTGAACGCCATAGAAAAGAGGTTTTGGATTTTTTTAACCAAATATTTTCTTTTACATAATTTTGAATTTTGGGAAGAAGGAACCAGTTTTAAGAAATTGTGTGTTTATCAGCTTTAAAAACCACAGTGACTTGAGTTCTGGAGAATTATGAGGATCATTCTGTACAGACTGCATAGTTCTTAGTGTTTAAGTAATAGTCAACATCACATTTTTTTGCTGTTATCACAACATAAAAGTACAGCAGACATTGGCAAGGTCAGTATTTGGCTGGAAAACCTCTAATTTTTATATGGGTATGCAATGTGCATCGGTTGTAGAAATAAAATGCAGACATTGTTATACACTGTATATATATTACATCTTCAGATATAAAGATTTTCACAAGGAAAGCTGCTATAATCTGATTTGCAATTTTTTTTTTTTTTCTTTTAATAAGCCACAATGAACCTCATGCATTAGAACCTGAAACTTGATGATTTTTCTAGTCTTCTTCATAATTTCTGGGAATCCACAGTCTTGAAAGCATAGAAGCTAAATGGTGGGAATATTTACCTATTTCACTATCAGTTCATATAATTTGAGATTACTTCTACTTTAAGACCATGTAATCTTCCTATAAAACTGCACACTTATGGAATATATTACTGCTGAAGAGAGATAACATCTGACCAATATGTTCATAAAATGTTAACCATAGATGAAAATACACTTCAAAATCTGGAAACAACAGGGGAAACATCCCACATGTAAGACAGGTAACACTGAGATCACTATAGAGTGAGAAAGCAGACAACCTGGACATAATCCTTCTCAGTATTTAGGGAACATTTCTTCCTTCTGTTTTTTTTTTTTTTTTTTCTGGCACAGCCTTCCATCCATGCATGCAAGACCATGTGCAATACGTAGCACAATTTAACTGTGTTGATTACAGTGGTTTAACTACTACTCCCTTTGCAGACACGTAGATGGAGCCTTCACCAAAGCACATGTGCTGCTGAAAGAGCACCCAGCCTCTCTTCATACATGATCTATACTGCAAGCCTTAGACAGGTGCCTGAGCTGCTGAAAGATAAATGATTTGCCTGAAAGATGGAGATTGAATCCCTACATGAGATTTCTGGGGAATTAGATGTCTGAAATCCTGCAGGATCTTTTAGTTATAAATTCTGTAAGTCTTTTCTCTTAACTCAAGCACATGTCTGTGTTAAACAGTCAATAGAAATGTTATCATTAACTCAAAATGTTTACAAGCAAGTCATCACGAACTCTGCAATGAAAAGGGCAATACAATTGGCAATTACTTATTGTTAATTATTACTATTATTGCAGTCATGGGATCACTCAGGCATTTAGCTTTCTGTTTTGCCTGTCTTTCTGAATGCCTGGTGGCAGTAGTGGAGAGAACATTCTTCAGCATTTTTGGCCACGAAATTTAGAGGGCTGCAAGCTTTTTTTCATCTCACTTTCAGATTTTGCTTCCTCTATGTGAGTTTGTACAGGAAATTTGGCAAAAACTAATGCAAGATCAGCGCAAATCTGTTTTCTTCTTCTTCTTCTTCTTGCTGACAAGCAAAAGATCGGAGGAATGCAGTTTACAATTTAGATGCCTGGATAGAACTCTGTTGGTCAAAGATGGGTGTGGGAACTGCTGAGCTGTTCTATCACGAATCACTGGCTCAGGGCTCTGCTGGAGATAATGTCACTTTCCTAACTCCAGACCCTATAAGATGAGGCTTATAAATGCCTGATATAATAAGTAATAATTAGAACATAATATCAGGAGTATATGAGTAGTGTTCTTGAACCATTCTTGATGCCAGGAGACAGACAGATAGAAAAAAATCAAAAAAAAAGTAAGAAGGGAAGGGTGGGAAAGGGAAAGGGAAAGGGAAAGGGAAAGGGAAAGGGAAGGAAA